TATATATATATATATATATTATATGTATATATTTATATATATATATGTACATGTGGTGGGCGTCAGGTACTGTTTATAGCGGATTCCTTATGTATCGGCCATATCCTTTACCACGGTTGCTGTAAAACAATCTACAATCACACCTGAGCTTTTTCTGCGCCTTGGCGCGTGAAACTGAATGCTCATGTTGAGTGTGTGGGAAAAAACGAGATTTCTCTGGTGTGAGTCCCGGGAGTGTCTCTCTACCATGATGTTTCAGCTATATATATATATATATATATGAATATGTGTATGTATGTATGTATGTATGCATGTATGTATGTATGTATATGGATATATGTACATATATGTATATGTATATGTATATGTATATGTATACATATATATATATATGTATATATATACTATATATTATATATATATGTGTGTATGTATATGTATATATATATATGTATATGTATACGTATACGTATATATATACGTGTCTGTATATATATATATATATATATATATATGTGTACTAAAATAGACCAAGTACGATCTCATACATTTCGTGTAGTACGTTATCAATCTATCTCAGTATATATATATATATGTGTGTGTGTGTGTGTATATGTATATATGTATGTATATGTATATATGCCTGGGATCACCCCTGGGGTTTATACTGATGTCCGCCACAAGTCTTTTCACCGTGGTTTGGTTTGGTGTACGTTGCTGTGCAGATGCTCCGCAGTGAGATGGTGCGAATGCAACACGAAATGAGCGATGCACAGGAGAAGATCAAAGAGAACGCCGAGAAGATCAAAGTCAACAAAACATTGCCTTATTTGGTAGCGAATGTGGTTGAGGTAGGTACGCTTTTGAACAGGATATTGCCTTATTTGGTAACGAATGTAGTGGAGTAGGTAAGATCTTGGCCAGCCTTGCTGTATGTTACTGGGCATTGCGATGTTGGGCTCTGCCCATAGCATCACAGTCAACTGTTCTAAGTTTTAGTTGCTCTCTCATCAATATTTGGCGATGTTTTATTCCCTCACAGACTTACAATTGCTCTCTCATCATTATTTGGCGATGTCTTATTCCCTCACGTACTCCTGATTGCTCTCTCATCATTATATGGCGATGTCATATTCCCTCACATATTCCAATTGCTTTCTCATCATTATTTAGCGATGTCTTGTTCCCTCACATACTCCTAATTGTTGTCTCATCATTATTTGGCGATGCCTTATTCCCTCGCATATTCTTAATTGTTCTCTCATCGCTGTTTGGCGATGTCTTATTCCCTCACATACTCCTAATTGTTGTCTCATCATTATTTGGCGATGTCCTATTCCCTCACATATTCTTAATTGTTCTCTCATCGTTATTTGGCGATGTCTTATTCCCTCACAGATCCTTGATGTAGACCCGAGCGAACAAGCCGACGAAGAGGGCGCCAACACCGACCTAGACTCACAGCGTGTGGGCAAATGCGCAGTGATCAAGACATCTACACGACAGGTACACGTGTGTGCACAAGCCTCTGAATGGGACTAACGGGTTACTGTTGTGAATGGGTGGGTGTGTCTGCGTATGCACACGTTCACAAGTCTATGTAGGCGAGCGTATAGAGCTTGTTGCTTAACGTTGTGTGGGTGTTTTTATCACTGTGTGCACATGTTTATACACCTGGTTCGATTTGCATCGCTTATGTTGGGCGTGAGTGTGTATATCTGTGTATGTACTTGTCCACAGCTTGATGACAACATATATGCCTCGTTGTGTGCGTGTATATGTATGTGTGTGTGTGCGTATCTGTGATGTGAGTGTTTGCTGTATGTACCCATGTGGTGTGCATATATGTGTCTTGTATGTCTCCTTGTCATCATACCTGCTTGTGCACAAGTACCTCCAGAGTATGTGCTTGAGCGCTGAGTATTTGTGGTATGGCTTGTGTGTGTTTGTGTGCGTCTCGACCTATTGCCGAAGCTTCCAGTAGTTAGACTACCTTTTGCATGTACCATTGTATGTATTATTTTTATTTTATATCCCATTTTACGTATCTTTGCAAGTATTATTTTATGTATTTCTGCATATACCCTTCCGATGTCCCATTTTACGTATCTTTGCATGTATTATTTTACGTAGTTCTGCATATACCCTTCCATGTCCCATTGTTTCATCCAGTAACCATTAGCTTGACTCTGACACACAGACTATTTTCCTGCCTGTGATTGGTCTGGTTGATGTGGAGAAGCTTCTTCCCGGGGACTTGGTGGGCGTCAATAAAGACTCTTATCTCATTCTCGACACATTGCCCGCAGAGTAAGTGCATTGTCTTTACAGGAAGAAGGTGCCTACCTAATAATCACATATGCTAACCTGATAGTCACATGTGCTTACCTATTATATGTCTATGTTCGTGCATGGGGTATCTGTATGCAATTCTAGCAGTGGTTTATAGTTTACAGGAGGTCGTATAGGCGTACGTGGGAGTGTGTGTATGAATAGAGGTATAGCATATGCACGCATGCGTAGAGTGATGTAGGTATCCTTATAACACCTACCATGCTGTGTTAACACTTTTCGCACACCCTCTCGTCCTTGGCCCTAAAAACCCTAAAACCCTCTCTCGTCTGTAGCCCTAAAACTAAAAACCCTAGAAACCTAAAACCCCCTCTTCGTGCGCTCGTATCGTCTGATCTGCAGCTCTACATCTACATACGTCCCTTGCTCACTTGTAGCGTATGCAATCCTTAGTATGGCTTCGGGTGAGTTAAGGCGTTCCCCCTTCCCCGCGCGCACACTTCAGATACACCCACACTTCTGAGCAGGCGCTAAGGCAGTGCTACCGTGGCAGTATCAGTCTAAACCCTAACCCCTAAACATATGCCCTAAATAGTGTATTTATTTTGTACGCATGAGTACGAGGATTTGTGTGTGTCGTGTGTGCGTATTCGCTCCCTAGCGGAAGCATAGTCTCACAAGACTTTTCTGTTACTGTATGGGCACACTCGTGTACAAAAATAGAAGCTGCGGTCATGTATCCATTATCTATGAAACACGATGCAACTGTAGCAAATATAATTGTGTGCGTGTGTGTGCGTGTGTATGTGTGTACGTATATATATACATATATATATTAATTTTTATATTAATGTTAATGTTAATAATATATATATAGTTATATATATTTATATATATATATGTTAATGTTAATGTTAGGATTAATATTAATATTAGTATTAATATCAATACATACTTATGTATTTGTGTGCTATTCCTGTAGGTACGACTCGCGAGTCAAAGCCATGGAAGTGGATGAGAGACCTACAGAGGACTACAACGACATCGGTGGACTGGACAAGCAGATTCAAGAGCTGGTGGAAGCCATTGTACTGCCCATGACACACGCTGACCGGTTCAAGAACATTGGTATCAAGCCGCCAAAGGGTATGAACATTTGGTCTGTGGGGAGAGTGTCTACCGTATATGACCCCGCAGCATCAGCTCAAGCGAGATTGCAGGCCTAAATCCTTCCTAGTTTTAGGGTTTTACCCTAAAACCTAAAGCCAAACTTTTTAGTGCCTACAGACGAGGGTGATCCAGTGCACTCTTTCGGGCGTTTAGGACGTGGGTGGGGCAGAGTTTACATCCTTGCCCCACAGTGTATGATTGTAGGAGTTGTTGGATAGTACTGACAGGGGAAGTAGGCGCCAGTGTGCTCTGTCTGTTTCCTGAGCTCTATCATGATGTTATTGATGTTGGTTGTTCATCTGACGCACCTCAAATGCGTGGTGGTGCGGTCTTCCGCACAGCACTGGTCTGTGTATCACTACCATATCAATAGTATTCACTCGTACACGTATATGAGGTTGCTATGGTAACGCTGTCGTCTATTTCCCGTCTATCCATCCACACTAGGCTGTCTGCTGTATGGGCCACCGGGAACGGGGAAGACTCTGATGGCGCGCGCCTGTGCCGCACAGACACAGTCCACCTACTTAAAGCTCGCAGGGCCCCAACTGGTGCAGATGTTCATCGGAGACGGTGCAAAGCTGGTGCGCGATGCGTTTGCCCTGGCCAAAGAGAAGGTGTGGGCGATGTAGGCCTCACGTTTCACGTGCTGTGTGTTGTTGTGTTGACTTGACTTGATTTGACTTGACTTGACTTGACTTGATTTGATTTGACTTGATTTGACTTGACTTGACTTGACTTGACTTGACTTGAATTGACTTGACTTGACTTGATTTGACTTGACTTGATTTGATTTGACTTGACTTGACTTGACTTGACCCACATCCACCCTCTCCAGTCGCCCGCTATTATCTTCATCGACGAGTTGGACGCCATCGGAACCAAACGCTTCGACAGTGAGAAGGCCGGAGACAGAGAAGTGCAACGTACTATGCTTGAGTTGCTTAATCAGTTGGATGGCTTTGACAGTGATGATCGCATTAAGGTTATTGCGGCCACTAATCGCATTGATATTCTTGATCCGGCGCTGCTGCGTAGTGGACGTTTGGACCGAAAGATTGAGTTTCCGCTGCCCACGGAGAAGGCGCGAAGTGACATTCTGCGCATCCACTCCAGAAAGGTGTGATAGAAGTACATGGGCTTGGATGTTTTGAGTGTGTTCTAAGGGTTTTTATCTGTTGTTATCATGTTGTATTGTATATGTTTTGTTATGCTATATTGTATATGCTCTTAACATGCTATAGCGGTACCCTATCCGGTCAAGGGCGGTATGAAATTTTAATCAGGATCGCGTTAGGATGTTGTGGACTTGTTGTGGTTTACCGTCAAAGACACACAT